AATGGCCATGTTTGCGTGTTTGCTTGTTCGTGAGTGGTCTCTCCACGGTGTGCCTTTTTTCTGTCTCTTATATTTCTTGTTATCTTCGGCCTGGTCCCTTTTTAGCCTCGCTCCTTTTCATTTTATTTTCTTTTTCCTCGCTGTTTCCATTTATTTTATTTTGTTTTTTCTCAATCTCTTTTTCTCTTTTTCTCTTTTTCTTCTCTTTTTCTGTGCCAGACGGCCTTGTCTCTGCTTGCGTCGTGAAGCACCAAGATTGAACCAAGGGGGCGTACCTCTTTCTCTCCGGCCCGTGATGGTGCCTCCTAGTCTCAGTTGTTACCTCGCATAGCGCGCAGAGGGAGTGGAGGACTCCAGAATATCTGTCGTTGATTTTTTATTGACTTGCGGACCCCTCGGGGCCAGTTTATTTGAGTGTACCTTTTAAGGGTAAGTTAGCCTGCGACCACGGGAATCGACCGCGTCGAGTGTTGGATCAGTACGGACATACGAAGGTACTGGGTAGAGAGAGATCGGAACGGTTTTTAATGTGAAGACAACAACAACAACAACAGCGCGCAGCTGTACATGTACAGCAATACATAGCATGTGTGCGTGATCCGTGAGCGCTGCTATCAAACAAAAATCAATTATGGCGGGGTCTAGTGCCAACCCTTGCTCTTTGTCTTCATCTCCCCTCCGTCATCCCAAGAAAGAAACAGTTTACCGGCACTGGGTCTCTGGTGACTCCACCGGCTCCACCAATAAGATGGCCGCAGCAGGGCCACCTCGCGTGACGTGTATCGTGCACCCCTCTGTCCTCAACAAATTCCTAATGACGGGGCCCCTTTGACGGTGCGTCTTGTTGCACAAAGCGTGTGCCACATAGTAAGCAGGCACGTGCCTTCCCGCCAAGAAACCGTGACCTCATCTCCGCCTCCCTCCCTCCCTCTCACTCGCTCTCTACCTGCCACAACTCAGCCTCCTCATTGGTAGTTTGGCGCTACTCTGCTGTGGAGCCGGGGGGGACAAAACCTAGCAATAATAAAATGAGAACGTGCTTGCTGTCGGCGGCGCTGATGTTCCTAGGAGGAGCACAAGGTTTCATCAACAGCCTGCCGAGATTACCCACTCGTGACATCACTACCACGCCCGGGCGATGTAGAGTACCACGACTGGCCCTGACACCACCCCGAAAGCCCAATACTGGGGCGGGAGCCGGGTCTGCTGCTGCCGGGGGCGATGACAATGGCGGGGCGAATGATATGTTGAAATCGACCAGCGGGATCGCCAGAGCGCCTCTCCGGATAACTCCCAACTTTCACCCCCAGGAGAAGCGGAGGCCAAAGACCTTTGTAGATAAGGACATCACCTATGGGGCGTTCTTGACGGAAGAGAGCTTTGATATCGCCGGTGAGTCGACAGAGTAGTTTCCTCTACTTGAAAAACGCGTGTGTTGATGATGTTTTGACAAAATTCTGGGTCAACCGTACTGGCTGCAACTTGGCTGTTCCTGACGTGACGCCGTCTAATCTACAAGAGTGTGTAGTACGTACGCGAATGCAAACCGTCAACCCCGAGCATCGGGAAAGGGGGCGAATTGTTGCCAACACATCACCGAGACTGGACTTTCACGAGGTAATCTAATACCAATGCGCACAAGAGCAAGAGCTCCAGGAGCTTGTATTTCTACCTGTGGGCGTACCCTGCTGGAAGACGCAAACATATCTCTCTGCGCCCACAGCAAGAAAGTGTTGGCTCGGGTACGATGGAGTAGGACTACAAAAATCGTGTAGGACAGAAAACACGCGAGTTGAAGGATCGTAGGCTTCTCAAAAGATCCACGGAGAGTGGGCATTGCAGCATGGCATGTCACCCTATTACCATGATCTGAGAGTAACGTTTATGCATTATATGATTGGTGTTATCCAACGTACATCGGTCGGTATGTTGACTTGTCGTTTACTCCTGTGCCCACCCTTTTTGTTGACAAACGCCCAGACCATCAGTCGCTCCTAAGCCCCAACGCACGGAAGTAGTGTGTTTCGAACCCCTCTACAACATATCGGGAATTTCAATGAAAAAACTCCGCATCCCGTTCGACTGTGGGTATATCTCGAACGGGTAGTCTTTGTGTGTGTAGCATATCTTCCAATACACAGCGCAAGATTAATGGAGTTGGTGTAAAACAGCGAAACAAGACGCTCACTTGTCGTAAAAAATGTGGCAAGGAGGTACCTCGCACCAGGAAGGGATGCACCTACAAGTGCTGACCGCACACATATCGCAAACGTCGTAGCAAACCACAACCACATACGAAAGAGATCGCCCCCCCTACCGAAACCATTTGATTTTCAAGGCTATTCTCGGCAAAGATTGTTTGTTGGCAGCGTTTACCGCGGTAACCGGCCACCACGCAGTGCGCGGCAATTATTGGACGGCGACTGCGCACCAGGTGTACGTGCTGGATGCTCTCCGCTCCCTATGCATGTGACCACCGCTCCAGAACGCTCTGATCGAGTGTTTAATGCAAACACATCTTTGTGGCATCTTGTGGTATGCGCTTGTAAATTGGGACTTCGTTCGGGGTTTGTTGCAAGTCCAGCTATCTATTTCACGGACCGATCATGTGCCCGTATGTTATGACCCTCGGTACGTTGTCACTCCCCGTTTATTGCCACGCCCCCTGTCCTCCCCTCTGTGTTTGCCATCGGGATTGGATTTCGTCGCTTGGCAACGACGTTGTAAAACAAGCCAATTTTCTTCGTGAACTCGGCAACCAGGTTACCTTTTTCTTTTTTTTACCTCTGTTTTTTTGTGGCGGTAACCATAGTGGTGGTCGAGTTGTGCGGGGTGGAGAATGCTCACTCCGCGCAAGGGGGATGATCGCACCACGTTGAGTTAAAATGGCGAAGCATCCGCGAGGCAGTTACGCAGTGCTTATAATTGTCTCTGGAAGTGAAAGCACCAGAAAGTAAATTAAGTCATACGCAGCTGTCATCCGTACGCAAGGAAGTAAGCACAAGATGCCGAACACCCTTAGCAGGATGCAGCGCACCCTTCATGCGACTCGCCGAATATCTCACGGCGCTTCGCGCTTGGTGATGTGAGAGCCTGGTCCGGTGAGAACCCGGCGTGCTCCGTCCCGGCTTTGTAGGGATGCGAGGTCAATGGTCTAACGACTACGGCATGCACGACTATGAGTACCCCCCCCCCCCCTGTAGTGCGGCAGCAACCTGGACGTTATCGCCTGGGCAATTTTTGATACCACACACCCCGTAGAACATCTGTCACACTCGATTCTATTTTCAAGCCCCAACTTATTATCACCGGGGTGTGGTTTCTTGTGTCGTTTACGGTTAGACGTACGTTCGTGACGGAGATGTGCTGAACAGTTTCATGTTGCACGGTGCAAGAAATGGGGTCATTCCTTTTTGGTGCTTCATGCTCAAGTTTATTTTCGCTCTGCACCCTCGTATTACGTTATGTGGTTTTCCATGGGGCAGGCAACTCATGCACCATTGCCTCATCGTTCGCTGCTCCTATGATTTGTCTTTCGTTTCTTTCTTTCGTTCAGCGATGGCTTGGGAAGAGTTCTCCGACTTTGTTCGGCGCACGGTCGAGCGGAACTTGAACGGAGCGCAGTTCGACTTCGACACTCGGCAGTGGTCGAGCAGCATTCGCAAGTGGTGGAGCAGGGCCGTGGAGATGGACGTGCAAGCCAAAGCCGTAAGTCTGCAGCTGCTTTCATGTACCATTGTATTCTTTTTCTTGATGCGGGCTGCGCCCGCAGTCACTGTGGTAGCGTTTTCAGGCAGTCTGCCATGAACTCCATGGGCCCGCAATAGTCTACTGGAAGTGCCTGGCGCCCTGAGTGTATGCACGCGTGGAACGCGCCATATGTGCATGAATCAGTCATATCGGTCTTTGAGGGAACGGGAGACAAAGTATTTCCGCCCAATCGTGTCGAGGAAACTGACCCTTTCCTCCGCACTCACCAACCACCCGCGCTGTTCTGCCGGAATTCGTACCATGGTACACGGACAGGACCTTTTCCGGCTTTACGATAGCAGCGTAGGGCAGAGGGACGCCTGGGGAAACCAGGCCTTGAAAGTGGACGCAAGGGTTGAGGACGAATGGGACAGCATCTACGTAGATTGCCAAGATGGCGCCGACGTAGATTTTCAGGACTGGTCATTCGACAGCAGTATCAGCTGTGGGGTCGAGGGGGCGGCGACAGGGAGTGACATGACGGATTCGAGATTATCAGGACCATCATCAAAAGCTTTGCCGTCATCGTTGCGGAAGGAGGGGGGTGGTTGGGGCGCGAGTCCTGGAAGTGCAAGCACTGGTGGCTCTCGCTCGGCGCTCATGGCTGCCATGGACGCGTTCCAAGAGGAGGAGGAAGCGGAGGAGGGGGAAGAAGACGGGACGGGCAGCGAGGGCTTCGATGATGAGGAGATTATCGACTGTGCGATCAGGGGACGGTGGACTTTCACAAACAACGATGACCCGGTGAGAGGACGTTAATCACCTTTGTCGTTGTTACCGTTGCAGAGTGAACGAACGGTCTTGCGGTTGTTACCGTTGAACGTCTTCGTCGGGCCACTTGCAGGAGATTGTCCGAAAGTGCTTGGGGAAGACGTATTTTTTATCATTGGTAGACACCAAACACCGTAGCATTTTTTGCCTGGAGTTTGACCAGTTGTCAGCTGCTGTCAACTGCTCTGGTGGATATGGAGGACCCAAAACTATAACAAGGATTTACATCCAGCACAAAACAATTACAATGTCACCGTTAATAGGTCGAAGCTCAGGTCAAGTTGGGCATATAGTACCTCTGCTTCAATCCCGCCGGGTACGCTTTGTCACCCCATGAAGACTCACGAGCAGAGCTATTCAGATTATTCCTCTCGCCAATCTCGCTCGAACGATGGGCGCCGTGTACTGCGTGATTGTAAGGCTCCAGACCCCCACTTGGAGAATACCCCCACTTATTCTCCCCCTCTCGTCCCCGTCACCTTCCCGCCACGGTGCTTGTTGTCGACACGCTCCCCGTCTTATGCAGCCCCACTTTTCTCCACAATAGTGCCGGTGGCACCGAAGAGGATCTCTTGATCTCTTCGATGTGCGCGGCGGCCCGCGTAGACAAAAGGGCTCAACGCCGCGTGTACATAACATCGGGAAGGGGGGAGGGTACCATGAATTGTAGCGAGATGTGAAAATATGTGGAAAATGTATCGTGCTTTTGAGTACCCCGTGGGAGGTAGACCACGGCTATGCGTGGATGCCACATTTGTCTGTGGATGCATGTTTATTACGGGGGTGTTTCGAAGCAGACGAAAGTGCCGCACCGTGCACAGGTTCAAGAGAGACGAGGGGAAGTGCGTGTCTGTGCATGCGATGCCGTCCTTCTGGCTGCCCGAGTAGTGTGAGGGGTGATTCTGAAAGTGTATTCTGGTCCCATGCATATTTACTTCTACTTGAAGTATGATACATACGGTAGTTCGTTGAAAGTGGGGTGCGCAAAAGGAGTACTATTGTAAGGTTGCGAGCGTGGGGGAGCATGCATGGAGTGGTTAGGGGGTTGTCACACGTCCCTTTCGTGTACAATTTGTTTTTCCTTACTCTCCTAAATGTTGGCGGTTGGGTCCCAACCAAACGAGTTGTGTTTTCAGTCCCTCATCGTTTTGTCCGTTGAGCGCTGCCATCCGCTTGGAAGGCTCTTTCTTGAGGATGTAGGTTGTTTCTCCGTGTACAGGCATGCGGGCAATCCTGTTTTGTGTGTCTACCTCACCTTGAGGCATCATGTTGGTATTGGAGCGGTGTGTATTTGTGAGGAATGTATTGATAAGAGAAATGGTTTTCGGAAGGACGGACAAATAGTGCCGACAGAGGCTTGCCAGCTTTTTTCACGGTCGACAAACATCAAGAGAGAGAGTAGTTGCATCGTTGGTTGGACACGGTTGCCCTTATTGCGTTGCCGTCGGAGAGCAGGCGGAGGTCATGTGGATAAAACGTGTCAAAACATCCATCCCTGCTGCATGCTACTGAAGGAAACGCCTCGCCCAAGAGCGAAAATGCACGTGTAGATAACACGGCAGCATCCGCCGCCATTGTTTGTCTTTCTCGTCAGATTATGGCAAATCGGCGGATGCTTGATGACTTCAGACACGTATTCAGCAGATGGCGGCACAACACGCGCAGACCTTCGGGAAGAGGCATGCGGACCACTTGAAGTCTTGCGCACAAGCATAGGCTGCATTGACACTGTAAAGGGAACAACACAAGGCGTTCACAGGTTTCCTGCCCCCGTACCGAACGACCACTGGCATACAACACGATGTGAAAAGCGCGACAGCGCGCACACGTCGATTGATTGATCATTAGCACCATTGTGCGGCTCCTAGTACACGAATACATCACGACCACGTCGTTGCTCACGCCTACCGACATATTAAGTTCAACAGGTGTACATGTACAACACCGCACCGCACGGCCGTGACTCCAAACAAGTCGCATTCCGGGCAGTCTGCCTGTCGCGGCGTATTTCTGGAGTTTTACCCGCGGAAGGGGGAGCGATCAACACCGGGAACATGTGAGTAGACAGCGACAGCAATTACAGTACCTACCATGCGCTTCTCTTTTCTTTCGTAGCCACAGATCACGCCCACTTTCCTTCCCGTCTCACCCCAGGATACTTCACGAAACAGGCGTTGTCGTCGTTAGCGTCGAGTGAGTCATAACAGCAGTTGTTCAGGACCAGAAAAAACTTGGTTGGGAGTAGCTAACGAAAACCTTTATAAAAAACGAGCTGACCCTCTTCCACATGACCCATTCGGTCATGAAACGTTTCCGGCAATATCCCCAGAGCCAGTCTCACCAATATGCACCTGGCAGCACTCGCCCAGCATCAAACATTACAAGTACACGCTGGCTCCTTGCAAATAACGGGGTGCGCTATGCAAACGTATCCAAGTAGTAGTGTGGCGCACAAACACAATCACACTTCAAGGTACGCCAACCACCTCAAGCCTACACAAGGAGAAGATAATTATAAGCTTCTAGCACATCACACAACAAGAAAGCAACACAAAACACTGCTCACGACCATAAAACACGATGGCCGCGACGCGCACATACGGGTGCGACGCATCTCAACACCGAAATTTTACATTTTCGCTTGCCCTCCCGCCCCAGCATCGCCTCCACCATCACCACCGACGTCAATACTATAATATCCACAACCAACGTTACGACACCGGCAAAATAAACGCCTTCCGACTGAGCCGAATCGTTCAAGGATAATCATACTTCCCTTCACAAGCCGATAGCGGAGGAGCGATCTGTCTCCTGATACAAATGTGCTACGTAAATACTCGCTCAGTTCACCCGCTGCTGCTGCCGCTAGGAATGCTGGGGGCCAGAAGAGTCTTGACCAACGCCATGCACGGGCTCCGGAAGCCTCTCCCATGCTGCAGGTACAGGTTGAGGTAGTGGTACAGCTGATACAGCATTATCCTGTCCTGGTAACCCGGTTCCTCCCTCGGCAAGAGGTCGTGGTACCTGACGAAGAAGCCTGGTCGAACGACGCGTAAGGAGCGGGAGGGCTACGTCACGTTTTCTGTCCTTCACCTGTTTGACCGATGAACCTCCAGTCCTTCGAAGAGAGGCCAACACCGTTCCCTGCCCCGAACCCCACGCCAGGGTACCAGGAATACGGTCGCCCGCTATTCATAGACCTAAACTTGCGTACGTCTCGGATTCCAGGGCTAGAAAAAATGGATCAACACGCCCACTCAACTCTACGATGAGCGGTGTTCGACGGTAGAAACGGCAAACAAATGGTGCGACGTCGAAACCCAGGGCCGACATATGGATGTCGGAGAGTACAGAAGGCGTATTTTTATCGGTATGCGACCGAACGTACGGCGATGTAGGGATGTGGGTACATATGTTGCCTCTCTCAGGTGAAACAACTTTTTTTGGGATCGAAATCTCTTGCTGTTTGATTTTTCCAAGTATTTTCCTCGCAGTGTGCACCTAACCGCACGCCGTGAGTTCTCAAAATCGTTTTGTGTAGGCAAACTTTGTCGGGAAATGGAATGGAAAGCGTGATGTCACACGTTGCGCGTAGGTGTAAGTGCGACCGCAACCTGTCCTTCACCTTTGCAAGGTGATCCGAACATTGTCAACATGCTCATCTCCATCTCGTAGTGGCCAAAGTAGACTGCGGGGTCGTAGATGACGGGCTTGCCGCTGTAGTCCACACCCCAGTTTCGACTCCACAGATTTCCGTGCAGGAGGCTAGGCGTGATTTCCAAATCCTTGAAGAACATTCGCGCGTTGTTCGCGACAAAGAGTGGGAATAGGGCGGAACGGGGAAGCTTGTGGGATAAATAGTCGTGTGGAGGGCACAAGAAATACCGCACATGAAACGGGGATGGTGAAAGGAAAAGGGCACGCAAAACCTGAATACCTTGGACGTGCATGCCCTGGTGTCTGAGGTTTGACCACCCGTACGAAAACGCCGTAAAAATGCGTTGGATGGTACCCATCGAGGGGGATACACCTATCGGAGTCATCGCACCGGGAAGTGATGGAAAAGCAAGAACAATATGATATTTTTCAAATTTCGCGCAGTTGTCGGTGTTTTCGGTCCGATAACACCGGCGAAATCCTGCTTCGGGCGGAAGAATTGATTGCGAGTTGCCACGATTGATTCCGCGTCGTTTTTCGCTGATAATGGGGACCAATTGGAGGACTTTACTTGCAATATACAGTATCATCATGGTGCCGCTCTATTGGGCCGTCATGGTTCGTGCTTCGTCATGAGAGTCGACTTGTTTCCGGTGAATTTGTACAGTACTTGGTGCACTGGTATACCCTCAACCAGGCACACAAACACGCTTCCGGCAAATCTACAACCTACCCATTCCAGAAGGCACTCGTACAGTACGTTTGCCGCCGTACTCGCAGACAAAGAAGACAAAATCGACAGCGGAAAACACATAAACGAAGTGCAAGCTCGAAGATAAGCTAAAACCACTCCCAATAGGAGGCCACATCGTTTTTCGCCCTCGGCGCACGCCACAACCAAATGCGCTTTCAACCCCACTTCTGCACCATTCGCTGTCATGACCAAGCCGCTAGGTATCAGCCACCGCCTACATGTGTAGAGATAACGCATCAGAACGTCCTACAGCACGAAAGAAGGATGTGTATCTACTGATGCGCGGACGGTAATCCCAACTAGCGACGTCGGAGTTATCGCACCAGTAGTGCGTTAGAAAAAGCTAGAACGAAGCGATATGATTGCACTTCCGCGCCGTTATCGGGGGTTTCGCATGCATCGGAGTTGTACGTGCGGTAAAACGTCAAGAAAGAATTTGATTGCACCACGGCGGCACGCCATCATACGCATTACTACGGTACGTGCAAACAGTCGAGGATCAGGGCGAATATCTCGTTTTCCGAGGAGGAGGAGGTTGATGTGTACGACGACACGAAATATCTCACAGCGAAAACCACCCCATAGCACCAGTGCTTGAAACGCTACTGAGTTAACCCACGATCAACAACGCCCACAAAAACGGCCTACCAAGCCCCCATGAGAAACCCGACGACAGCTCGCGTGCTTTAGCAAAAACCTTTCCCCCGTGTACCCACTTACCTCTCGCGAAGGTTCACCCTGAGTTTCTACACCTTGGTGGCTACCTCGTGATCCCCGTGCTTCTCCAGGATCATCTCTGCCTGTCGGCCCAGCCTGTGCTTGGATAAGAAGTTGCACCAGTCGTCTTCCCAGTCGTTGATCTGCAGCGACTCGCCGCACCAGGTGTTTCTGCGCGGGCGTTGCCATACAGCAGCGAAGGGGGGTACGCTTAATATCGGGCAGCATGCCTCAATAACATCACAAGGCGGAGCAGAGAACGCAAGATTCTGGCGGGGTTTTCACAAAGCCGCGAAACGCCGCAAGATGGTCACCCGCGGGAGGAGATGAACTTGGGGACATACATATTTGTGCTACGTGGCTATAATTCGAAGTCTTGATTGACGGAACGAGGAACATTGCAAACAATACGTTGGAACTGGAGCTAAAATGCCATTTTGGGGCTTGCATTAGTGGGAATTCCTTCGGGTGGGCGGTGGCTCTCATGACAGCAATGTTGCGTATCACGTGCCCCTGAGGTGAGCACCGATATCTGGGGCACATTCGCGTCGCACGCTCGTTACAAAGTATAGGGGTATCTGCACGTTTACGTTTTAATGTATCCCCGGGATATCTTTACCCAACAAGAGACGTATTTGGAGCTGACCACGGGATGACAAGGTTCATCGACGAGCTGGCAAGAACGCGCTCCGTACGGCGACAGGGCTCCGAGTTCCTGCGGCGCACCTGAAGTAACCGAACTTGGGGCAGATAAACGCCCTGTGCATCCGAGCAAACTTCTCACCAAACTGGAGCGTCAGCAACGCGCCAGGGACAAGTTCATGGGGTGGTGAGGGAGCGAAAATGGACGCGTACGATTTGCTGTACAACACATGGGAGGAAGTGCCCAAGCCTCATTCCAACCGACTACTACATCCTGGATGAACGGTGCGAGGCCGAAGGGGAAAGTGGCAACACCAACACTAGTACACCTGGCGGGGACTGACCTCACCGGCTGCCTACACGACAATCAGAACAAAAGAAACAACAACAACAACAACAACAACAATACAACACAATACTCATGGCTAGTTCTTCACCACAGCCCACCTTGCGTTGCTCCTCAGTGGACATGGTTTCCATCTTGACGTACTCCAGGATCAACGCCGCTCCTCGCCTCTCCGGGAGGGTAGCCAGCGCGATCACTCTTGGGACTCTCACGGTTCGGGTAAGTCTCTGCCCCGAGACAGTACGAGCACCCATCTTCTTGTCACAAACCATCGAGTACAACCAGGGAAATTACAAGCACACCCTTGCACCTGCGATGAAAACCGCGGCTCTCAACCTGCGGAGGGTTCTGTACAGAAATCACGTGTTCTTGCTGCGAATACGGTGAGGAACGGTAGGCCTTGCTTGGGAGGCTTCAACGATAGGCCTATCGGTCGCAAGAAACGCAAGACGCGCTTCTTAAAGACTCTATATACAGCGTCTCTTGAACGACGCTACTGAAGGCCTTGCTTCATCACGAACACAAACCAACCCTATGCACAAGGCGCACGATGGAGTGAAGTCCTTCGATCTCCCGGTTGAACTTGGCGACGGCGTCGCTGGTGGTGTTCATTTTCACAAACAAAATCTCACCACCCTCGTCTTCCACCCTGAACACCTTGTGGTTGGGAGATCCCGCACTGAACGACTGGCAGGATGCAGACGCACGTGGATGTGCCAACAAAGCGAGGAACAAGGCTCATGAATACTGCGTGGGTCCATCAGAAAGCGAACTGCTAAACGAAAGCTTGGGCCAAAGACGAGCAGTGTCATCACGACAGCAACAACAGGATAGACAACTCTGCAAACTGTAAACGTATCAAGATTCTACCGCAAGCTGACACCTTCGTGTTGCAGTAGAGTCGACGAAGAGCGAACCATGGGGAAGTATGCGACAGTATTTGATGTCGTCATGGGAAGCCGCTCTCTCAAGTGGTCCCCAAGATCCAAGATGCGTCAACTCTTTGGATCATATCTCTGTCTGTGAATCTAGAACCTGACTTACACTTCGCATCACCGGGTGGATTAGCCGGTGCACCCTGGTTGCCTGCCACGTCGTGCGTCCAGTAGCTTTTGAGTGCGAGCAAGTCTGCTTGCATAATCGCTCATGTGCTGTAGACTACATGATCAAACAACGGGATATCTGCACACAAAACTGTATCTTTTCGCGGCGAGATCCACACCGTAAAATACATCCATCCACGCCGATGCCATTTCCAGAAGGCTGCCGGTGTAGTTGCAAGCAGAAACTTGGAATGCACCCAGTAACACGCCTTATTCCCTGTATCCAACGGCTCAAACGGTGCGCCGCAAATAGCTATTTAGACGGCGCGTAGACTAGACTACCGCTGACGATCGCCGCACAGCTCACACTCGATGTGTTTCTCCAGTAGGTGCATAGACTACTATGATAGTCTATGCCTCGTTTCATGTATGGAGACACAAGAAGGTCACACGGACAATACTTGAGCGCACCTTTGATTCGATGGAGGATCCTGTCGTCGCGAAGCTTTTGATCCTCTTACCTGTCACGGCGAAGTAAGCGCCGGAGATGGCCGTCTTGTCATCGAGTAGAATGTTATCGGTACCGATGAGCTCCTCGTGCTTGGTCTTAGTCTATGCTTCTTGGCCGTATTCGAGGGGCAGGCTGCGGCCATTGTAAACTATCTCTGTCACACGTAACCTGCCCCCTCAGTTCGCTAGAACGAGTTGAGCCTCAATCGTCCCTTGCCCTTCTCAAACTCAGTGGGACGGCGGTAGACTGCTGTAGACCGTGATGCTCCCTACGCCCGACAAACCTGCTACCTGCTACCTTGCACATGGTACATCTCCGATATCTCCGAACCGGGGTCACGACTCAACTATCCCCGAACCACCACAAGGCCTCGACAACTTCATAACAAGCGGCGCGCGGGGGGCGTGGGCGCCGTTCTGGAACGGACGAGGCCAGAGGCCAGAGAACACCTTGCTTGAGTGACACACATCGCTAGCGCTCTAGAGAGAGCGGGGTGCGTATGCGGTGTTGCTTGCAAGTCCACCCTATTCTGTTATACTGAGGAACGAGAAGCTGCTGTGCTAACCATGTCGGCGGCGCAACTGAAGCAGGTCTCGAGCGGCAGGGATTTGGGAGAGATGGAGGAGCTCAAGGTGAGATAGATGCTGTATGCATACCAAGAGAGTAGATCTGGGTGGATGAGTGCCTTACCTCTCACCTTAGGAGTGGGCTAGGATCGAGCTGAGTGGGGCTGGAGTAGTGCAACATTGTGTTGAGAATGTCGGTAAGGCGGCACAATGGCCTCCATAAGGCAGGCTAAGCCTTAGGCCTGTCCTCCATCGGCCGTTTTATTTTCGATTTAGATACACAAACTTTATTTCTATACTAATTTCAAGTAATCCCACCTTCTTATTCTCCGTCATACAAGCAAAACGGCCGATGGAGGACAGGCCTACTAAGCGTTGATCCGTGCGATGCAGACCCGAAGCAACGTATCGTCCTACGCATAGTCTACTTGTTAGCACAAGAGCATCGGGACCTAGCGTTTTGACAGGGACACCCGCCAGACAACAGTATGTTTGAAGCTGTGTATCAAAAGTAGCGTTTTCGAGACTGCTGTGGAGGAGGTTCGAGGCACGTGATGAAATCCTGGAGAAAGATGTTGTAGCGCACTCGCTCGGGGCTAATGTACATACCGTATTCAAGGTGATACTGTATACCACACCCCCCTCACCGGTTTTCAAAGCTCAATTCCTCCACAACAGAATGGGTGGGCGTACTCTTATGTTTTGCATGTTTTAGCGGTAAGACCATTGACCACGCGTCCTCGAGAGGACGGAGCATTGTTCCCACAGGACCGATCACCGATGGCCCATCGTTCCTTTCTACTTTGCCAAAGGTGGCTCAAAAATGTCTTCTCTATTCTGTCTATCCTAACGATATCCCTTCCCGCCTTTTCAACCCACCTCCTATGCCCCACTACAGCTACCGTCCTTTCCTCTCTATTCCATGCCTCAAACATCTCCCTGTACGTTCCATCTATTTTTCCCAGCTCAGTCACGTACACTTCCCTCTCCTTCTTGTACAACGGACATTCCGCGACTACATGAACACGGTCTTCGCATTCGAAGCCGCAATCACATTTGAACTCGTCGTCTTCGTCGCCTACCGTCCCATGTCTTCGTCGACGTTCTCGAAGGCCTATGTCCCCGGTCCTGAATTTGGCCTTAAGCTTTGTCATGGCATCCATTGGTCCATGTCGGTAATCCTTGAACCCTATTCCTTCCTTCAACATTCCGTACCCTTCTAGACCCTCCTTATCCTTGGTTTCTTTCCTTAAATGATGCTGTTCTCTCTCGGCACAAGCAACAGATATCTTCTCCTTGAACTCCTGTAGACCCTCCGTTTCCAGCGTTTCATCTTCGTCGATGTCGAACCCCTTCCATACGTCCTCTACAACCTTGACCCATTCCGTGGGTTGTCTACCCCTCTTTTGTTTGCCCACTTCGCCTCCCATACTATTCTCGGCAACCTCTCCTCTTCCATCCCGCACATGCGATACTGCCATGTCAGCTTCCTCGCGTCTCTTCCCAACCGTAGGGATTGGATCCCCAATTCTGCCCTGACGGCTGCATTACTTGTTCGCTTGGAGCATCCTAGGATGATTTTCGCTGCTTTCATCTGCGCCGCCTCGAGTTCTGTCACTTCCTTCTGGAATGGGTGGCAGCGCCGAAAATGGTCGTGGAGTAATGGAGCTTTGAAGGTTGTAAGGTCGGCCAAAGGGGATGTGGTATCTTGTGTCATGTCACCTACCGTAGGCAGCGGTACAGCGTCTTGTCGAAGGAGGTCCGTCTAATTTACATATGCATAAATATGTACTAGTAGTCTACTGCTGTTACGAGATAAGAGACAAGAGGTGTTGGTGTTAGCATCTACATCCACCCGGGCACTCTCGCGGCCAAGTCAACGGCTTTCGTTGGACAAAACGACCTGGCGGACGGTCCACCAGCACACAACCTCTTGTTTGTCAATTTGACTCCTCTCTTGACACGTGTTGCTAAATTATTTGCAGATTGCAGCCGCTCTTGCTTTTTGGGTAAACTCCTATCGTATGGCGGCGTCCCGCGCAACGTGTCCTCATCCTCGCCTCCCTATCCCTGCCTCTTTCACACGCAGAAACTCATTCTAAGCGAAAAGGCCCGCACGAAGCACAGCGATGGTGGAGGAGGCGGCGCGGGCGAGAGACGCGTAGACGGAGGCGACGTTTCCGACGACGACGAGGGGGAGGGAGACACGAGGGACAGGGGCGGCGGGGACCGTGGAGGCGGGGGTCGAGCCGGCAGCGGCGGGGCGAAGGAGAAGAAGCAGAAGGGAACGTGAGTTCGAGAAACCATGAAGTCAATAGTTACAGTTTTGTAATTGATGGAACAAAAGTCGTATTCGTGTGTAGTTGTACAGGCGTGGTCAGATTGAGTTCGAACGATGATTTCAGAAGTTCGGGAACAAATTGCATTTTTGCGTTTTCGCACAGCTTGTGCCTTGATCAAGTTGAGAAACCTGCCCGTTCCCAAAATCACTCCCCAATCCCGCCGCGCCCTGCCCGATGAAGGTGGCGGACGCCAATCGCATTCGAATTTTCTGCAAACAGCTCGCGCAAGTTTGAAATACATGCAATAGAGAGGCACGGGGTGCAGTAGTGTACAATCTTTGAAGCGACAAGTGCCAAGTATTGAGTACATGAGTACACACCGCTTTTGGCCTCCCCCGCTGCCCGCCCCGGTGTATGCCATCGGGGTTAGGTTGTCGTCGCTTGGCAACGACGTTGTAAAACAAGCCAATTCACTTCGTGAACTCGGCAACCAGGTTATCGTTTTTTATTTTACCTTTTTTTTTTTTTTGGCGGTAATCATGAATANAGTTACACAATGCTTACAACTGTCTCAGGAAGTGAAAGCACCAGAAAATACATTGAATTTATACGCAGCTGTCATCCTACGCAAGGAAGTAAGCACAAGATGCCGAACACCCTTAGCAGGATGCAGCGCACCCTTCATGCGACTCGCCGAATATCTCACGGCGCTTCGCGCTTGGTGATGTGAGAGCCTGGTCCGGTGAGAACCCGGCGTGCTCCGTCCCGGCTTTGTAGGGATGCGAGGTCAATGGTCTAACGACTACGGCATGCACGACTATGAGTACACACCCCCCCCGCTGCTGACACGCCCGTGTTTGCAAACGCTGGATAGATGGCGGCGAGGCAAGCTGATCGTGGCCAGCGGCGTCAACGACCCAAACAAGTACCGCGATCGCGCCGACGAGCGGCGCAAGGGGCAGAACCCGGACTACGCCGACAAGCTGAACCAGATGGCCTCCATGGACGCCGAGACCACCAAGTACCTAGGTGGTGACGTGGAGCACACTCACTTGGTGAAAGGGCTGGACTACGCCCTGCTGGTCAAGATCAGGGAGGAGGAGCGCCAGCAGCAGATAGAGGTGTGGCTGTATGTATGTGGTTTTAATATTCGCATCGCGCTAACGGCCTCTTGTTGTGCTTGTGTGCATGTGTGTTTGTGTTTCTCGAACCGTTGGCGGCAACACCTTGATTGAGGCACTGTGTTTCATGTTTGCCTTTTGTGGGCTGTAGCGATGATGGGGTCAGTCAACAAAGTCGTCAGCCCAGGTCGTTAGCGAAGAAGCTTCCGGTATAATTTCCTTCCTGTGCCGCGTATCCCACCACACGGACACTCTCTAGATAGACAGACAGATGCTGGCGAGAGGCAGAGCCAAGCAACTATGTGTGCCAACTCTCACGCGGAAAGTGTGCTGCAGGCTTTGTTTGTCGCCTCATTTTTTTTCTCCAAATTCCGTCGAACTTGAAAACCGAAAAACACAATGGCGAAAGGTACTGGAAGGGGATGGCGGTGACGATCGAAGCGGAGACCGGAGGGGAGGGCGGGCGGAGGTTCGCGCCCGAACACTCATGGGCAAGACGGTACTCGCGGTGCTGAGGAAGCTCAGCCTTAGCCAGGTAACCAAAAATAGAGTAGGGTGGGAGGAGGTTGGGGGTTGGTTGCAAGCTATTCTTCTTACGATTAATGTTTTTATTTTTTGATCCAACCTCGGCACCCCCTTACCCGTCAACCAACGCCTGTGTTTTTCGTGTTTGCCGGTACCCTAGACGGGATCGGATAGGATCGGATACCCTCGATATGACACGTGGGCACAGCACGACTGCTCTCTCGTCGTTTCGCTGTCAAATAGTTAACATTGTCTTGCTGGCGTTAAAATGGCGGGCTGATGGGGCGCATATTGCCGCTGGTTTTGTGAGTGGGGTTTCTTGTGGTCGGCGCTTGAACTATGTTCGCCCACCTCGTGTGTACGTTTTTGTTCGTTTGCGCGCCACTCTGTTTGTTTCTTTGCCGTTAGGGGGGCGGAGGACCCGACTTTAGGCGCGTGGGTTACGAATTCGAGCTGGATCCAGAGAGTACCCAGGAAATCCCGACAGCAGTGGCGCACAGTCTAGGGGACGACGGGGAGGAGGAGGAGGAAGAGGACCGGGAACGGCACACTAACTACCTCATGGAGGTAAAAGAGGCTTGGTGGTGATGCACCATGATACCCTGCGGTGTGGGGGTATTTCTGTTTTCACTACATATATATCATGCGCTCCCTGCGTATCATTTTTTGTTGCGTGGTGGTGGCTTCGTTCGTGCGGATTATTGTATATTTTGAACAATTGAGCGTATAATCACCGTTCCGCAAGCCCAAGCAAGACCCGTTCAGGACAAATCTGTGGTTGCTTCAAAGCATCGTGGACAACTTCTCGCCGAGCATCTTCTGCACTCAGAGCACAGCAGCCAAGACCCGCACGTGCCGGCACATGAAACGTTCTGGCCGCCGCTCCCCCCTGCTCCATCGCCGTTCAAGTCTTGCTGTTTTACACATGGCGCTTCTATGCGCTTACCTGTTTCCCGCACACTTCACTTGTCGCTCGGTGCGTCGATTCGCTGATCGTGAAAACCATCACAATAATGCGCGCTTTAAAGGAGGACCTCCTCGAACGCGTGGAGTCGGCCTTTACTCTGTTCCGGCAGCATGGTGGCAAGGCTCGACGCCAGCGCAAGCGCGCTCGCGACAAGGCTGGCGGTGTTGGTGGCAAGGAGGAAGAGGCGATCGTCGCGGCGCTTGCCAAGACGGGCGGAGGAGACGGGGGGGCGGGAGACATGGAGGACCGCGATGCTGCGGTGCTACCGCCCGCACGGCGAGCCAAAGTTTCCATCAACATCTTTGAGGATGTTGACGACCGGTAAGCGGATAAGGTTCGGTTGATGTGTTGTTTCATGACTTGATTGGTCCAACGATTGATGTCACTCGTCGTCGCTTGTGCTTGTCTGTGCCTTTGCTGTGTCGGAAGATCATGCAGGCGAGGCTAAGGATACGGGTCTGTTACAACTGTGTTTCTTGTGTTTCGGTGGTTTTCAATCAAGCTCCTCTTTTTTTACCAGGATCCCACCTAAAATTCTCGTGTCCCTTGCTCCCTTTCTTTCCTTTCTTTCTTACCCGCACCCGGTCCACGACAAACCCCAACTGACTTCTTCCCAACATTACCATGGTACAAAACCACACGCAGGTACGTACCACCCGGATCGGCCGGGTCTGCTTCTCAACCGCCCGTGGGAGCGGCAGGAGCGGCGAAGGGGTACTTCTCGGGGCTGCGGGCTAAGAACGCGGGGGACAGCGATAACAAGGCCGACGTCTTGCCGACGAGAGCGGAGATGAGCGCAACCGTCAAGGCGGCCGCACGCGCCGCGGCCGCAAGGGTGTCCGGCGACAAGAAGACCTCGTCGGAGGCAGGTGCAAGAGAGACGGGCAAGTCCGGCGGAAGGGACAAGATCGAGCGCGATATCTTCGCGGCGAGGCCGAGCCGCGGGCAGGCCCTCGGCGTCTCGGCGGGCGGTTACGACGTGTACCCAGAAACCGGGGACTTCGAGACGTACGATAGCGACGAGGTGAGCTTGACGTGGACGAACGAGAGAGACACACGCACATAGACAGACAGAAAGAAATACAGGGAAAACGAAAAGTAAGCTTTAGCCCAGAGCTGTGTTTCAACGACGCCAGTCCCATTGTGCTTCCGCACGAAAGAGAGACTACTTCGTGATGTACCAAATTGCACTAGATTGCGAACATTGCGATCGCGTTGGGCTAGGCTCTACAGAATAAACAATGTTCATCGTCATCGTAAATAGAGGATAACTCGCATGCAGTCGTAGAATATGGAGGCGGTGATCGGTTGGTGATCGAGAGCTTTTTTTTTTATGACAAACCGACCACCACCACCCACGCTCGCAGGATGCTACCAACAAGAAAGACGCCAAGCCTGGCCCCGAGGGGAGCGGCGGCGGGGCTGGCGCAAGTGGCAGGCGTGGCGGGGATGGCAACCACGACAAGCACCCCGCGTACGACAAGCCAAAGGCCTCCTTCCCTTTCGGAGTGAAGAGGTCCGAACTGAGCGTGCGGAAGGGGGGGGGCGGGAGCAAATCGAGCGGCAGCAAGCACCGTGTGGACAACGAGTTGAACATCATCAAGAAGTACATGAAGGGGGATAAGTAGGGTAGCGGCAGTCGGCGATGTTCCCAGCTCCAAACAGGCTCTGTGTGGATTTTGAGTGGTTTCGTCGCGGTATGTAGCATTCCCCGCGGCTATCGTGTGAGATATGACAGCCGCGTGGTGTAGGGCAGGGAAGCGCTAGATACAACGCCAGCATATTTTTCGGGGCCTCACGCCAATCGCCTCATTCGACGTCGTACAGCAGTATCACCGTATGGGAACTTACCCATGTTCATCACGTCTATATATGCATATCATCGGCATGCTTTGCAATATTACGGGGTAGGGTGAAGTATGCCACTGCAACATTTTGTATATCTCGTGCTTCGAGGCTGCAAATACCTACCGGTAGCAGTTTGGCATGTTGCAGATATGGCTGGCGATGCGATGCAATTTGGTGTGAGTCACTGGTTGGTTTCGCGGCGATGTATCGCAAAGTACGTGCGATTTGCTTACGCAAGGGACACATAATTTTCTAGCCGCGTTTCCTCACTACGAACGGATTTAGGTTGCGCCCGATGTCTCTGGGCGACTATTACCGCATCCTGCCCCCGAGCGGTGCATGTACCTGTTGCTTTACGTGCGAGAAGTTGGCCGATTTTCGTGATAGGCACAGGCGTCAATGTTGGGTTCTTTTCATGCCCAGCCGTTTACGTTCGGATGCCGTTCGGTCACCAATCTCGCATACCGGTTACCCAAGCCGTGTCTAGATTCCCATCTTTGCTGAGTGATGGTATTGCTTTGATTCTGTAGGAGAAATAAATACTTTTTGAAAAAATCTCCCCGCTTAGCTTTTTCATGTGGACGCCGCACATCCCTAATATCATATGCGAACTCCTTGTGTTGTCGTCCCATGCATCCCGCCGAAGGGGGCGGTGGAAGTCAGCGAACAGTGTCTAAATTTTTTGTATTTTTTTTTCCGAAGTGTCAATTTTATTATTATTTTCCACGAAGTCTGGAAGGTAACTCTCTGGCCAATAACGAGGGGACGACAGTCGCTTCCCTCTCTTCTCCAGAGTCCAAGTTCCCCTTCCATGTCAACTGGCAGGCCCAAAGAAAATGCCGTCTCAGTACACCGAAACCCCCCAATGGTACTCCATACCATTGACATCCACCTCCCCAATCAGACCCTCATACCCCAGTTCCTCGTGGAATAATAGCAATCANTCGCTAGTTTACGGGATACCATGTCTACGTCCACCATATTATTCCTAGTATATATTTTGAACGTACCCGAGCCTTCCTTCCATCTACCCTCTCTCTGTATAATTCTGTCCGGTACGTCTCCTCCTGCTGCCAACGTGGTGGCGGCCCCGATTCTCAACGAATGAAGGCCAACCTGTTTTGGGTCGCCACCTGCCTTCTCCACAATCTGGCGAAGGGCGCTAAGAGCTTTGGAATATCCCCAAACCTTAATCGTCTTGCTCCTCCTACAGCGAAACGAACACAGAGGAGCGTCCTCAGGTAACGCGAGATGGCGCGCCATCAATTCCACCAACACCGACACGGCACCGCCACCGGCTCCAATCTGAGAACTCGTGCCTTGTGCTACTTCGCGCACTCGTGTAACGCACGCCCCCTTCTCCGACTGATCCCCCTTGTGGCCGCGAAACCGAACCCGAACTCCTGTGGCCTTGTGCCAGTGCAACTGGGCTAGCACGTCCTCTCCATCAAAGAATTCGACGTCGCTACGCCGCAAACAATGCACCTGGTGGCATTGCCCCGACAGTGTGGCACAAACCTCATCCGNGTACTGTACCGCGGCGAGCTTGCCGGATATGGTTGGTGCAACATTACCCTTATCTGCACAACACCACGCCACAAACTCCAAAAGTGCTTGTTCCAGCCCAGTCTCATCCGCGTCCCCCGAGAGATACTCCGACTCGCCAATCATGCGGCGAAAAGCAAACCAAGCCCGCCAACCCGACAGGTAAGTGCTTCGAGACGACTGCGCAACTGACTCGCGACTTNGGACGTACTCGCCGCTAAGACGCCCGTACAAAGATCGGCGACATCCGGGCTCAAGACCTGTTGGCGCCAGGCGACATTGGGACGGGACAGGCGAAGACGAGCGTCAATGGTCGCCGGCTCCCATCGTGAGATACCATCTGCAATCGTGTTATCGACCCCCCGAACATGAGCCGCCTCAAACCACCATCCGCTGCCCATCTCCGAACATCCTAGCATACGCATGAGTGCCCCTGATCTGGGCTCGCTCCCCCCCCGACACTTGCTCAACGACGCGACACTCGACGAATTGTCTCCCATTATACGGATGCTATTGCGGGCGTACTCTGGCCTCATGTCCGATTGTACAATGAACACCCAGGCGCCAACTACCATCGCGAGGAGTTCGAGCATGTTGATGCTCAGATCGTCGCGCCCCTGGTCCTGCTGGCGAAACCTCTCCCGTACTTCCTGACTAAAGTCAAAACGCCACCACACTCCCGACCGGAGCTCGGCATGCAAGAAGTACCCTCCCATCGCATCTCTAGATGCGTCCGACCACAAAAGACAAGAATATGGTTGATCGAAAAAAAAACACACAAGTGGGGCTGTTAACAACCGCGACGGCGACCCCAGGCCCCCTTCGACCAACAGACGCCAAAACCGCATGTCGGCATGAAACTCGGGACCGATTCGTTTCCGTGTCGCCCCCCGGGTGGTCAATTGCACCGGCGGTAGCCCCAACTGGTTGAGCATGCGGCGAACAAAATATTTACCAGGCCGCACGACCTCACAGATATGCAATAACGAACCAATCACCCCCCGCAACTCGGACTCAGAGGCAAAGCAGCGCGTGGGAGGCCACTTGCGGATTGTCGCCCGTAGGCGTTCCAGCTTGTCTGTGGGAACCGAAATGGTCATAGCCACCGTATCAATGTCCCACCCTAGCACACACAACCTTGTGCGCCACGAGGAAAGTTTACTCGTAGACAACAAGGGAGGGTCCCTTGACCACCGCGCCCCAAACACCCGGAAATGGTCCGATGCACA